GCTTGACTTTAAGGGTCTTTACAATGAATGTATTTCCAAATTTAGCATTTACTATGTATTAACCTTAGTGGTTGCTATAGCTTGGAGGCTTTTAAGTTCAAGTTAATTTAACTTCCAATTCTGACACGCCTGTGGTAAAATAACAGCGAAGGTGAAACTGAATCCCTTTGATTTCAGAGCCACAAAGCACTCTGCCAACAGAAAAGCAGCATTATTTTCAACACCTACAAGCTACGGAGGTGGCAGTTATCAATACTCACACTGTGAGGAAAGGAAACAAACGCTGAGTGAGATTAGGGTCATAGTCACACAAGTTTTAGGGAGAAGATAAATAGGTCAGGGGATTTCCCTCTACCTGGGTCACCAGAACCAAGACCATCCCATCAGGACCAAATGAGACCACATCTCAAAGAAGAGGAAGGGGGCATGCCACCGTGCCTAGTCCCTTTCATCATCATTCATTCATTCTCTTTAAAATCATTTGTTGGGCACCTGCTGAGTACTGAGCTGTGCTATGTAATGAGCACACAATAGTGAACCAGCCAAGTCCACAGACCCTGCCTTCCGGGAGCTGACAGTTAACGTTCGAGCGAAGAGCTTGTGCAGCCCCAGTTTCAATTCTCCCGCTTGCAATCTCCCCGCGCTCCTGAGTCGACTGCCTGAGAAAAGAATCAGGCACACAGAGAACAAGAATGGGTCTGAGCAGGTGCATTTTAAATTCCTACTCAGATAAGAAACACACCATCCCCCAAAGAGCTTACGGTACTAAGTGCAGTGTGTGTGGCAGGAGATCTGTGGCCAGCAGTACAACCTGGATAGGCTGTGGGGCCTTAAAGGACAATGTGAGTGAAAGAGCGAGAGTCTGAGAAGCACTGGCTAAGAAGGGTCAGGAAGGGGCTCCAACAAAGAGAAGGATGGGGAAGGGAAAGGAAGTATCTGATTCCTCCCCAGCCAGGAGCACTGCTTGGAGCCCTTCTGTTAGAAAATGCACACTTTTCATGTTTCTTTACAGAAAGTATTTGCTGGCCATTACCTGGGGCCAAAGTTATGTGTTACTGAGTGGAACCCACCACTGTTCAGGCCTCTGAACTCCTCCCTTTCACAGTGAAGGTGCTCCCTGTCCCGCCTCCTGCCCCACTCAGCCAGTCCAGACTCCAGTGCACCCAGCAGGTTTTGGGGAGATGCCAGAGTTTTTCCAAAACATTTGAAAGGGGGAACCCAATAATGACTTGGAGGCAAAGATAGGAGAACTTTTCTCTGCAGAGCTGTGCAAATGAAAACCATTCAAGGTTACCAATAGGTCTGCAGGGCCTTTTTCAAAAGGACTCTGCCTCCTACTTTAATGTGGGTACACAGATCTATGGCCTAAAACAGCACTTTTCAAACTGAGTCACAACCCATTGGTGGGATGTGAAATCACATGAGTTCAGCCAACGTTTTTTAATGAAATAGAATAAAATCAAACAGCATTGAATAGGACATATGAGAGCACGTTGTTGGTAATAAGAATAAACATTGTTTTATGAAAGTTGTTTCCATTTTATACACACAGATGTCTCACTATCTAAATCTATTTAGTTCCTAAGCAATAATACATATAGCAAGGGATGCTCTCTCTCTCTCTATATATATAAAATGCTTAAATTGTATTAGATATTATGCATAAATATAATTATTCTTAAATTAAGTTGCCATATAAATGGGGTTTTTTTAGTTGTAGATGGGGTTGCAGGGGCTAGGGGCAGGGGTGGCAATTGAAAGTCAATAGCCTAAAGAAACTATAGAAAATGGAATGGAAATTTTTAAAAAACTGATTCCAAAATAATTTAACACACACTTCTTCTGTCGTCCTAATTATCTCTCATTTGGTTTCCCTGAACTTGTGTGTGTGGGAATACATCTGGTTTTGTTACAAACATTCTTTCAATCTTGTAGAACAGACAGAAGCAAAAGGTGAGAAATAACAGAAAACAGGACATGGTTTGGATGCACCGGCCAAATCCCCGCCACAAAGCAGCCCAGGCCAAACCCCGTCCTTCCGGGTCCAAACCACTGGACAGAATCTGGGCCAGAAGCAGCCTCCCTTCTCCCTTGGAAAAGCCTTTAAAGGCCAGTTACTCAAATCACTGGGCAAAGGACCAAACAGCTCTCTAGGACATGAAGCCCTGAATAGGATCATGGCCAACTCATCTTTTTAAGTAGAATTGAATTGTTGGTGTGTCATGATTTTTGTAAACCTTTTGACAAACTTTATAAACAAAGCCGTATTTTCAAAGGTGATTTTTGAAAAGTCAAATTAGTTTGCCTAAAATTCTTAAATAATCCCCCTCACCACAACCACTACCCCAGCACAAAAAGAAAGCTACCACATCTGCTCTGGGCTGAATGGCCACATGTGCTGCCAGCACCATCCAGGGGCTTCAGGTGGTTACAGCCTTGGGAATTCAGCTCCCTGAAATTCCCAAACACATCAACAGGATGTGCTGTCCTAATGGTCACATGTTCAGTCTTCTTGAACTCAGGAGTCATTAGCTTACAACAGGCAATTGTAACAGAGGAACGACTACAGTACTTAGAAATTAACTTAATTTAAAGGGTATTGTCTACACTCTGGAACTAACCATAATGACAACACCAGGGGCATTGGTCTCTTAGCATCTTAATGACAACAGTGTTACTATGAATTAAATGTCTTAGCCTTGGAGTCACCACTAGCAGGCAGATCTGGCGTTAGACTGGGATTAAAGAGAATAAAGACTTGAAACCAATTGACCCAGTCTCAACTTCATCACTAGTGCAGGAAGGAAGAGGACTTTTGTCACTCAGTCAATACTTAGAATTATAATTCTGTTGCATCCTCTGGTTTTATAGATTCTTAGTAATTATATCTGTAACATACCTGCTGTTTGTTTTAAGTTTGTTTTGTTGAGAAAAATAACTGATCATGAAGTGATGTTTCTCAAAGTCTGAACCAAATAGAATAAGTATTGGTGCACTTCACTAATACTGCCATCTACAGAGAACTTACCTAATACACATGACTACTGAAAAACAGAGCAGAAATAAGAATGTTTAACTTTTTTCTCAAAATATTTTAATTCTGTGATTTTCAAGCTAATCAAATGACTAGGTAGCAGAGTGAGTCTTAGCAATACATAGTTGATTTACTTTTGTCTTCCTAAATTTACTGAAAAATATAACACCAAGCTTTTTTAAAAAAATAAATAAACTTCAAATTCCTTAGGTTTTCCCCCACGAAGTCTACTATCCGTGTATGTGTGCAATTGGCGTTTTATATTTTTTTCTACAAATTTTCCCATCTCTCAAATTAAAGGAAATTTCTGGAGTTTCCTGATGGAGAAATTTATCCATAAAGATAATGTGTGCTGAGGATAAGTCAGAGCCCATGAGAGGCATCTCAGTCAGACGTCACTCAGAAAGCAGTTAGACCTGGTGGTGGGACTGTCCCTGTAGCACCATCAGGCACTTCCTCTATCGTGTGGCAATTTCTAAAACACCAAGTAAACAAATTTAAGTAGATTATCTCTTGAATCAGAAGTTTACACTGCCCCACTGCAGATCACCAGACAATTATAGCTGGTTTCAGAGCTTCCAGAAGGAGACAGTTCATTCTCAGCCCACCAGCAGCTGCACACAACAGCAGATCTCCAGATGAACAGTGAAAGACTCGATCAGAACAGGATGCTTACGTGCTCGTGATTCAAGGTGCAAGTATTTTTGAAACATTTTTAAACAATAACAAATTACTAAATTTTCATTCAGAAGTTTTGCCTTCCTTACACACCGTCTGTACTCAGGGAGCCATTAAGATTTAGCGGCAAATTGGAGGGGAAGGGTGACCTTTACACAGTCCCACTAAGTACCAGGAATCCTGCACTGTGGTCTCCAACGGCATAAAAAAGAAAATGGCTGTTAGCTAAACTCTTTCCAACAAAAAAAGCGAATGAAAAATAAAATTGCAAAGAAGTATTAAGTACAGAAGATTCAACTTGTTAACGGTTGAAATTACATCTTCAGAGTCCCTATAACAAAGGGTCTGGATCTAAAATGAGTGTTGAAAAGCAGTCTCCTTACCTATGGATAACAGAAAGGAAAGAAGAAAAAATGAAGGAAGGGAAGGAAAAAAAAATAATTTTCAACGGATAAAAACATGAGAGCATATGGCATTATTCACCTGGCAAAACCACTACCTGTTTGGATCTTCAGAGGAGGGATGAGGGACACTCTGCAACCCCAGGGAGACGGCTTTTGCATACATAATTTAAACAAATCACTCCAGCATTTGAAAGAAGAGCAGCAGAACTCTTCTCACTAATTACCACTGCCTGGACCACATGTGCTGCTTTTGCTTTAAAGCCACACTAGTTCATTATTCTGCCTTCAACTCTCTTAAATGATTCATTCCCCCCTTCTCTCCTGAGCAGACTCTGCAGGGAAGCTAGTATTTAAGTTTAATTTCTAGTGCCACTTGCTTTGGAGAGCTTGATGAGAGGAAGGAGGAAGAACCTAATTTAATAATTCTGTCATGATTTGGAGGGGCACCCTCCGCCCCCTACTCTAAAAAATAACTAGACACACAGGACCCTCTGGCAAACTATAATCGTGAGCAAAGACACCAATTGGGAAAGCAGGGCCCACGTGCAGTGGGAGCTGTCACCCAAGGGAAGTGGCAGCCGGCGAGGAGGAGGGAGACGGGGAGAGAGTGGAGCTGCTGCTCGCAGGGGCACCGGCCTGGGCTCTCTCAGGGAGACCCGACTCGCACTTGAATGGCGCTTAGCTCTCTCCCAAACACTAGGCGGGGAAAAACCAAAGGGTAGGGAGGCCGGCTCCAGCATCCTCGAGAGCTGTCCCTGCCAGAGGGACAGCCTTTGGTGCGTGCCGTGGGCTTCCCCAAAAGCCGGAGCCCGCGCGCAGGGCGCCCGGCTCCGCCAGGTCCAGGGCGCCCCTCGTGCGCCCCAGCCCGCCGCCCCTCGCCTTACCGTCCAAGCTCCGACTCCACCTCGAAGAAATCGTTCAAAGCATCCCTGTTGGAGCCGTCGATCCAATAATCCGGGACGAGGCTCCCGGTAGCCGGGGCCACGCTGGCGGTGACCGAAGAGCAGGACGAGGCGGAGCACGAGGGCACCGTGACTTTGAGCATCTTCGCGGCGGGACTCCGGAAGCCGCCGCCGCTGTCGCCGCCGCTGCCGGAGCGAGAAGCCCCGCCGCCCGCCGTCGCCTGTGAGCGCAGGAGCGAGAGGTGGCGTCCTTCACACACACGCACACACCCACCGCCGCCGCCTCCCCGGCGCCCTCGGCCGCGCTCGGGCTGCGGCTCCCTTTCTGCACGCTCAGGAGAGAGGGTGGGCGGAGAAGGGGGCGAGGAACTGGGAGAGGGTGTGGAAGGAGAACCCGAGTCGCCGCCAGCCGGAGAGAGAAGAGGCGGAGGCACTGCGATGGAGAGAGATTCCCTCCCCCTTCGCTCCTTTGCTCCTTCCCTCCCCACCTCCCCTCCTCCCTCCGCCGAGCCTCTCCAGCCCCCCTCCCTTTTTTCTTTCTCCCTCCCAGGCAGAGGCTGCGGCGGAGCCGGCTAGGGCGGCTCCGGATGCAGAAGCTTGGGGAAGGCACAAGGACCGGAGCATCATCCCACGCGCTCTCCCGCGGGAGCCAGGAGCCTGGAAGGGACCGCGCGCAGTGGGACGCTCGCTCCGGGAGTGGCGGGTGCCCAGCGCGCTCTGGGACCACATGGGTTCGGGTGGCTCAGCAGGATGGTGAGAAAGGGACCTGGCTGTTGGCACAACTCCTTCCTCCTTGAGCGCATCTCGGTGGCAAGTCCCTCTCACCTAGCACTAGCTAACCAGCCATCCTTGTTCCTCCCTGTGTCTAAGCTTATATTGGTGGCTGGGGAGGGTGTCCTGTGGTCGCCGATCCCCAGGGCTCCTGTGCCCGGACCCGGTGAAAGCTGGAGGAAATGGAAGCGCCTGGGTCCACGTTGACCTGACTCACCTTTGAGTGAAGTCTTCAGTTGGAATAGATACTGTTATGCTGCTGCTGGCATTGCCTCCTTTGATACTGTTGGAGCTCCTGAAAGGACAAGAACTTGCTGTGTCTAGTTCACTCCCAGCCTCTGAAGGCTAGCAACAGAAGTGACCCAGAGAATTACAGGTCTGGAAGGGCCCTGTGGAAGCCACTAGACCAGCCCTCTGCCTTAAGGCAAGACCCGTCATCATTCGTGATAGAGAATATTGCTACATTTAAAGCTCTTTCGGCTTCCGGAGAGGTGTGCCCATCCCCAGCATTCTAATGTCTGTCCATCAACCTTCAGGCTGTTCTTCTAACTATTGATTCAATATATATCATTTATATTTCTACCCTTGAACTTTTTTCTTTTCATATATCAGCAGAGATGAACAATTAGTCATTATATTCTGTAATAAATCTTTATCTATAATAACAGTTATTACATCACGTCTCATTTCTAGCTAAATAACTCTAGGCCCTTTATTTAATCTTACTTCACAGGTGTTACTTTTAGTCTTTTTTTTCTGACTCTCCTCTAACATGCACTAAACTCTTCTTGGTATGTCTTCATTCCTAATGACACCAGTAAACATGGTGCAATATTCTCCTCTAATTTACTGACTTATTTTTTACTCTTAAGAGCTTTGTGAAATATGGGTAAACTACCAAAAAAAACACCCCCAAAATCTAACTAATTAGTGATACGAATATGATGCATAGTTGATTGAAAATGAAAAACAAACAAAAACTACTCCTCACTGGTATTTTTATGAAGATGAGCACATCCTCAATTTACAAATGCCCAAAAGACAGCAAGTGTATGTAGACTTACACCAATTCAGTCAAATACTGAATTGTTTGGTGAGAAAATGAAAATGCTCACGTGACTTGTTACTTTTCAGAGACTGAATTTGCTAATCTTCATGTTAGAAAATCAGGTTTAGGAGCAAAGCAGGCAAATAAAGCTCTCTAAAGTAAATTTGAGTTCTCACTAAGTCTCCCTTGGTGGAGGGATGGGCATGGAGTAGTTGCTAGGCCATTTTTTCTTCTTCTTCTTCTTTGTGAGGAAGATTGGCCCTGAGCTAACACCTGTGCCAGTCTTCGTCTACTTTATGTGGGATGTTGCCACAGCATGGCTTGACAAGTGGTGCTAGGATCCTGGCCGGTGAAGCCAGGCCACCCAAGCAGAAGGTATGAACTTAACCACTATGCCACAGGGCTGGCCCTAGTTGCCAGACCATTTTTATTCACACTTCTTTGGGGCAAGTCCAAGCGCTGAATGTAGGTACTTGTCTGCTGTGAGCGACTCTTTTACAATGTAAGTCCAAAGCAAGCATATTATATTGAAAGAAATGGTAAGCCTTTATTCTCCTGTTTTAGGGAATGATAGCTAGAGAAACACCATTTCGTGGTAAAGGAGTGATTATAGAATTGATATTTACATTCAACATTAGTCATTTGACACCTATGCTTTTCATAACTGACTTTTATAAAAGTGCTATTAATTTAAGTTTTAAAAAAAGGGTATTTGGTTTAATGGATGCGGTTTATTTTTTTAAAAATATAGATGAAAATAAATATTATTTTAAAACAGATGGAACAGAAATTAAATCCATGCAATTTATCTTCACTCCTTGTGAAATATCATCTAAAATGACCAGAAAAGGAACAAAGGTATATATCCACAAAAAGAAAGGGAGAAATAATGTCAACCAAATCTTAGAATCTAGGAACAGATGGACAAATGAAAACTGACTTAGAAGATTGGATAGACCTGAAACTCAGATGTGCAATGGGAAAAGTCAGTAGGAAGAAATCTAATTCTTACCACAGAATTTCAGAAATGCTCAGGAATTAGAGTACCAGATCCTTCTAAAGGTGGAGCAGAGGATAAGATACTGGTTGAAAATTTTTAAAAGATGGTCTCAGGCCCCTACATTTCTTTTTCTACCATTCACAGCCAAAAAAATCACTTCCCAGGGGCTGGCCCCGTGGCCGAGTGGTTAAGTTCGCGCGCTCCGCTGCAGGCGGCCCAGTGTTTCATTGGTTCGAATCCTGGGCGCGAACATGGCACTGCTCATCAGACCACGCTGAGGCAGCGTCCCACATGCCACAACTAGAAGAACCCACAACGAAGAATACACAACTATGTACCGGGGGGCTTTGGGGAGAAAAAGGAAATAATAAAATCTTAAAAAAACAAAACAAAACAAAACATACAAAAACCACTTCCCAAACCCTTGGAAAAGAAAGTAGACTTAATTTTTGGAAATGTTGAACGAAAAATGTTGTCTTAGATCACAAGGTACAGTTGAGACCATATTGAAAACAGAGAGATTCATGAAACTGTACATAATAAACAGTAAGACTTCCAGGTTCATTAGGCTCCCAGAATGCTAAAAAAATGAGTTTATATCTATCACATCCCCAGCCATAGAGGAAATTGAACAATTTCTCACTGAGAAAACTAAATGACCTAAGAAGAGGGGGACCTATGAATACTGACAATTCGGATACACTCCCCAACAAAACATCCTGATATTTCTCAACACCTTACAGTAAAGCCCATCACTGAACAGACTCAGGGACCGAAAACTTCCAATGAGCTATTTTGTGTCTCACTCAAACACGAATGGACAACATTCAATTCTGATATGGCAGAATAGCTGGTATGACTAAACTTCCTGTATATAATAATTATAGTCTCTAGACTAAGTATAAAAAGTTATTTACATGTGCAGAAGAACCACCAAAATCAGAAAATTGGAAATGCTAGAACTCATGAAAGAAAGTAACTCTTCTGAATGAGAGGCACATTCATTTGGCTTTTCCTCTCAGGGCTCTACAGGCAACACAACTCTTAGCAGCTTGAGGTGTCAGAAAACAAAATTCAGGGCTAGCAGAGAAGCTAGAAATTGAGAAGGAAATCCAGAAAGAAGGGACCACAGTGGAGAAATTCAAAAATCTACATTAAAACTATGCTCAAACACTAGGCTAACCTCTGAACTATGCTTATGTAGGGAAACTCTAAGGAACCCAGTAGAAAGCACAAAGCAATAACTGGAAGGTAGAAAACTTGAGAAGAAATTTTAGCTGTTCTTCACCACAGAGGAGACAGAGTTTGGAATGTGAGTCTCATCGGGTTTAACTGTGTATGAGAAGAAAAGAAAACTCTTCAGGAAAAAGATAACAAAATCCAGAATCTCTGCAAGGAACCACTGACAATCCAGTACACAATAAAAAAAATACTAAATATATGAACTGGTAGGAAAATATAAACCACAGTCAAAAGAAAAATCAATTAATAGAAACCACCCCGAGATGATTCATAGGTTGGTATTCACAAGAAAAGCATATAAAACAGCTACTATAAAGAGGCTTAAATACTTAAAGGAAATGATTATCATAATAAGTGTACAGATGGGTAATCCTATCAGAGAACTGAAAATGGTTCAAAAGAAACCATTGGAAATTTCAGAACTGAACAAGCCAACTCTCTGAAATTTGAAAAAATATACTTACAGGGCTGACAGAAGAGTGCAGATTGCAGAAGAAAGAGTGGCCGAACTTGAAGATAGACTGTGGTATGATAATCCCCACTGATCTTCACCTTCTTGTATTTATGCCCGTCTCAGTTCAACTACTGCCTTGAATTAAGGTTGGCCTATGTGACAAATAGAATATGGTGGAAGTGAAAGTGTTTGACTTCCAAGGTCATAAAAGCATTGCAGATTCTACCTTGATCTCTTGGATTGCTCATTCTGAGGGAAGCCAACTTCCATGACTTGAGGATACTCAAGCAACCCCATGGAGATGCTGATGTGGAGAGGAACCAACTTGCTAGTCATGTGAGTGAGCCATCAACGAAGTAGATTCCCCAGCCCCAATTCCTTCAAATGACTGAAATCAACAATATCTAAGTGTAACCTCATGAGAGACCTGAGCTGAAACTACCCAAGGATTCAGAATTTTGGATAATTCAGAATTCTGAATTCATAGAAACCATGAGAGATAAATGATTATTGCTGTTATAAGTCACTAAAATTTGGAGTTATTTGTTATGCAGCAATAGAAAACTAATAAAAAACATAGCTATAGAAATTATCCAATCTAGAAAAGAAAAAGAAAAAATATTCAAAAAAAATTGAACACATCTCTGTGAATTGTAGGACAATATCAAGATATCTTACATGTAATGGGAGTCCCAGGAGAAAAGGAGAAAGGATTGGGGCAGAAAACTTATTTGAAAAAATAGTGGCTGAAATGTCTCAAATTTAGGTAAACAACATCAATTTATAGATTCAAGAATCTCAGAAACCCCAACAGAAACAAACAGAAATAAAACCACGCCTAGGTCCATGTAAGTCAAATGCTTGAAAACAACAGATAAAGAAAAAGTTTTGAAAGCATCTCCTACCCAGACAGAGAGAGAAGGAAGTATATTATATATTGTAAGGAAGTAATAA